CGGCACATGCCCCAGCGCATGCACCAGCAGCGGTGCCATCACTCCCCTGTCCCCCCCCACGCCCTCCTTCCCCCCCATCCCCGCGTTGCCCCCCAACCCCGCGTTCCTCCCCACCCCCACCACCATCCCCGCCTGAAACGGCCCTTTCACGATCATGTTGGGCGATTGCACCCACACGAACCCCACGGACGGGCGCGTGAGGGTGGCCCGCGCTGCGAGGAGGTAGAACTCCGGAGACACCCACTCGTACGGGGTAAAGCGGGAAATGTCCCAGTAGGAGCAGATGGGGAGGGGCCGGCCGAGGGAGATGCGGCTGTTGGCTCCCTGGGGTGGCAGAGGGTGGGAAGAAACAATGGGGGAGTGAGAGAGGAAATCAGAGAGAGGAAAACTCTAAATGGGAGGGGGAGGCCGAGGGAGATGCGGGTGTTGGCTTCCTGGGGGAGACAGTGGGTGGAAACAACGAGGAAAAGAGGAAGGGAGAGAGAGGAGAGAAATCAAGAAACACCGAGTAAGCTTGTTTGCACAACCATGAGAAATATCCTCTCGTCACCATGAAGGGTTTTACGGTTCTACTGATCGTTTTCCAGGAAGAATTTTTGTTGCTTTAAGCGCTACTCTTTAGAATTGCTGCTCTTCCATTATGAGCATAGATCCTTGGCACAACCATGAGAACTATCCTCTCGTCACCATGAAGATCGATCTGCCCTGAATTTTGAGTGGAGGTGCCTTTTGAGTGGAGGTGCCTTTTGAGTCGAATCAAAAGTCACCTTGTCATCACCACCATAGATCCGCCCTGTTCTCATCTCATCACCACCATAGATCCGCCCTGTTCTCAACTCATCACCACCATAGATCCGCCCTGTTCTCATCTCATCACCACCATAGATCCGCCCTGTTCTCATCTCATCACCACTATAGATCCGCCCTGTTCTCATCTCATCACCACCATAGATCCGCCCTGTTATCATCTCATCACCACAATAGATCCGCCCTGTTCTCATCTCATCACCAGCCTGGCCGCCTCCACCAGGTGGTCCCGCACAATGCTCAGCTGCTACAGGCCCTATTGGTCACAGCAACGTGAGACTCTCCCTCACGTTAGGCAGCACCAGGTGTATGAAGAAGTGTTTTGAGACGTCTCAAAACACTTCTTCATACACGTGCCTCCACCAGGTGGTCCCGCGCGTTGATCAGCTGCTACAGGCCCTATTGGTCACAACACAGCAACGTGAGACTCTCCCTCACCTTAGGCAGCACGAGGATCCGCCCTGTCCGCTGTGCCAGCCTGGCCGCCTCCACCAGGTGAACCCGCGCGTTGCTCAGCTGCTCTGTCACTGCCGCCAGCACCAGGTAGCGCCGCTTGGCGAAGGGCTGCAGTAATGGGCAGGCAAGAGGAGAGAAGGCGGGGGAGAGGGGAGTAATGGTTGCCTGCTCAGCTGCTCTGTCACTGCCGCCAGCACCAGGTAGCGCCGCTGGGAGAAGGCTGCAACAACGGGGAGAGTGGGCAGGAAGCAGGAGAGAGGGCAGGAAAGAGGAGAGAGGGCAGGAAAGAGGAGAGAGGGCAGGAAAGAGGAGAGAGGGCAGGAAAGAGGAGAGAGGGCAGGAAAGAGGAGAGAGGGCAGGAAAGAGGAGAGAAGGCGGGGAAGCCCCTCTCCCAGCGCCGCTACCTGGTGCTGGCGGCAGTGACGGAGCAGCACCAGGTAACGACGCTGGGAGAAGGGCTGCAGCCGTGGGGATAATGAGTTGAGAAGGGGAGAGAGGTGTGGGGTGGAGTGGGGAGGGAGGGATCAGCTGTTCAAAGTAATTCTGGAAAAGAGAAAAGAGGAAAGAGGAAAAGAATGAGGATCATAGGAACAGAGAGGAGAAATTGTGCACCGTACTGTGGGAATGCGGAGTGTGGGATGTGGGGTGTGGGAATTAGGTCTAGGGATTTTGGTGTGGGAATGTGGGGTGTAGGAATGTGGGGTGTGGGGATGTGGGGTTTGGGAATGTGGGGTTTGAGAATGTGGGGCGTCGCAAAGTGGGGAGCAATTACCGAGTAATTGTTAAACGGCACGCCAGGGATGGGCCAGCATGCTTCGGGCCATTCTGCTCCCCCGTTATAGTCACCACTACCACCACTGCTGCTATTGCTGCTCCCGCCGACGCCGCTGCTCCTGCTGCTGCCGCTGCTGCTGCTCCTGCTGCTAAGACTAGAGATGTCTCCTATACCACGGTTGGTCTGACCAGTCCTGTTTGTTGACACGATGCCATTGATCAAACCACTCTCCACCGCTCTGATTTCATCACATGTAGATCTTATCCCCGCTAAGATGCTCTCCCGTGTAAGATTATTACGCTTCAGCGACGAGATCATGTACTTGCTTGTAGGTAAACGAGCCATGACGCCATTCAGCCAACCAGGAGAGCACACGTGGCCCAGGTCGCCACGTGCTTGAACTGCATCCAGTTGGATTTCTGCCGAACGTGATTGGTTAAACTCCCAGTGAGGATTGTCCTCGCTTTTGAGAGCCCCGCTACGGCCGCCGTGGTTACTGCTGCTCACGAAGTCTCGTTTCGCTGCTTCTTTCGCCCACTTCTGCAGCGCTGCGCGGAGCTTTCTTTGGCAAGACACAGTACCAGCTGGCAATGAGTTACTTGTAACATTGGCTGTTTCGTACGGTGAGCTGGTTCCCACAGAACCGTTACCACCGATTGTTGCACTGCTCAGTACCCGTCTGCACCGCCAAGGTAAGTCGAGCTCCAGATCAGCCGATCTGTCCAGTGATCCCTGAATCAACGGCTGAGATGAACCTGGAAATCTCCACGTTCCCGACCCTTGCTTCCCTTCTAGCGAATTTAGATCGCCGCTGCATCGGGAACTCGACAGCGTGGCGACGTGCACGAATTGAGCCACTGCTATAATCACAATGGCCTGGGCGAACAATTGGCCGAGCCACCGTAACGGAATCCTCCATCGGCCTCCTGACGCGCTCGTTAGAACTGATTGTGAACCAAGCCATGACCGTTTGGCTTGACGAAACGGCTGTGTCTGGTTACCTAGAAACTGCTTTCCCTTGGGAACACCGAAACCTCGGGTCACAATAGAGCTGGCGGATTGGGAAGCGGCATTTTCAAGGTGGTTGAAAAGTCGCCCGCTGGATCGTTGAATGCCAGCCATGAGATGCAAGCATCCCTAGGATAAGGACACGCCTAGCTACCGTCCGATTCTTGTTGGACTGCCGGCTCAGTCTATCCGGAAGTTTTGTGTGACCGTTTGCAGGTCCCACTTAGTTTCAATATGTTTTCGGAATTCATTATAGCAGTATGACCCAGTTTAGGGTTCGGGTACCAGAAACCCAGGCTGGTGGTATTTTCATCCCCAATAGAGTGAAACTGCCAAAAAGGACCCAAATGCAACACACATATGAATACACTTTTGTAATTGTATGTACTGCTTATTCTGTTGAATCCCGAGGAAAACAGATGAATGAATTCTAAGCCAACGATGCTTATATTTGAGAATTAATATCCATAAATAAATTTCTGCCTGATTGCTGAAAAAAGAAGTAGGTAGGTAGTATTTATGAAATAAGAAGTTGTCACACAATCAGGATGTAACACTCAATGCATAGAGTAAATCGAGGCACTCGATACTTAAATGTTTCCCATGGTACTGTGAACTTAAGGCCGTGAAACATTTGGCCTGAAGACGATGGTTCAAGATAGAGCCGAACTCTAATAAGATGGGGTCCTCGAAGTTCTTATCGAAAATTTCAAACCTAATTTGTGAATCTGGAAACCCAATTTTCCGCATCGAGCCTCACGCTCGACCGCAGGCTCGATGCGTTTTGTGTTGTGCAAAAATTCAGTTCATCGCAAGGCGTTTCGTCATTCGTCCAAACATGTTCACAGGATGTGCGAAACTCCGCATGTGTACGAGAGGTTATCATGTAGATTTTCGCTGAGTGCAGGTCGTTTCCATTTATGTCTCGCGAATATCATTGCCACGCTATCTCCCCACCAGCAAAGCCAAGCTCGAAGCAGGTTCAATCCCGTTTGACGCTAAATCTCACTACACACCGCCCAGGCTCGAAATGTCTGCAAATGTACCACGTCCTACGGTCACATACATTTGGCACTGGGTTCTGTTCTAGTCTCGTTGTCAAGCCTGTAGTAGGCATTAGCACACCAAGAGTCTCGTGGAAGCACGAGTTCCAAACACGTCAGAGCGATATTTTGTCAATACCAATGGACTCACGCATGAATCAGTAAAATCTCGTGCGAGCAGGCTTTTCAATCACGAGTTGGCCGAATTCAGTGCAAGAACGAAATCCAGCTCTCGAAGTCTTTAGATTAGAACAATGGGGATGCCGGGTGCGTGCTATCACAGCCATCCACCGTCGCAATCCCAGCAACCGCAGAGGCCGCTAGCGGGAGCCGCGGGAGAGGAGATGCAGCGACACGCGCTGTTCGGCGGTGCGATTCAAGCGGATTTCCCGCTGCGATTTGAGGTACGGAGGGCCGTTGGTCGAGTGAATCCGTGTCTAAATTTGGAAAGAACACGCCAATATGACTGAGCGAAGCTTTTGTAAGAGAGATTGGTTAATGCTCGTGTAGATTGGTTGGTGATTCTCGGTATATTTCTTGTCGGTTTTGACAACCGCGGTGTGCGCGCCAGCTCAATGTACTCGTTTCACGCACCCTTGTCCGGTTGTAATGCTTATAACGAATGCCTTGACGTTGCTGTGCCTCTCTCTCCTGGCAGGACATCAGCAACTTCCGAGAAGTACCCAACAACCAGGTGAGGTGACGTGACAACCAGGGCGAGGTATTGTAGTGCTTATAACGAATTTCTCGTTTCTTTTCGTCAAACGTCCACCAGAGCCGTTCGTGACTGAATTCCACACTCGTTCCGCAGCCTCTGGTCGATCTTTCTAGGTGAGAAGAATTCCGAGAGAACTTGCTGCAAGGCACACTTTGAGCTACGAGTACCTACCTTCCACAGCAACACTCGTCACATGGGCTCCCCTATTCTTCCCTTTTCCCCTATTCTTCCCTTTTCCCCTATTCTTCCCTTTTCCCCTATTCTTCCCTTTTCCCCTATTCTTCCCTTTTCCCCTTTCTTCCCTTTTCCCCTATTCTTCCCTTTTCCCCTATTCTTCCCTTTTCCCCTATTCTTCCCTTTTCCCCTATTCTTCCCTTTTCCCCTATTCTTCCCTTTTCCCCTATTCTTCCCTTTTCCCCTATTCTTCCCTTTTCCCCTATTCTTCCCTTTTCCCCTATTCTTCCCTTTTCCCCTATTCTTCCCTTTTCCCCTATCCTTCCCTTTTCCCCTATTCTTCCCTTTTCCCCTATTCTTCCCTTTTCCCCTATTCTTCCCTTTCCCGCTATTCTTCCTTCCCCCCACCTTCTTTCCTCCACGCACCCCTCCTCTCCCCCGTGGCCGCTGGGTATGGGAGTTCCGCGCCTCCTCCCCCACCCCTCCTCACCCTCCCCTCCTCTCCCTCCCCTCCTCCCCCTCCCTCTCCTCCCCCTCCCCCTCCTTCCCCTCCCCCTCCTCCGCCTCCTCCCCCCCTCCTCCCCCTCCCCCTCCCCCTCCTCCCCCCACCCCACCCACCCGCCCCTGGGCTATCAAGAGGTGTTTGCTGATGCCAGCCGGGACGAGAGCATAGTGATCGAGCTGCTATTACCTCACCCTTCCCCCTCTCTCCCGCCTCACCTTCCCCAATCTCTTCTCCCTCTCCCTGTGCTATTAGGAGCATAGTGCTCAAACTGCTGGAGACATTACCTCACCCTTCCCCATCTCCCCCGCCTCACCTTCCCCCTCCTCCCCCCCTTCCCCCGATTCCCCGTGGCTATCAGGAGGTGTTTGCGGATGCCAGTCGGGACGAGAGCATAGTGATCGAGCTGCTAGAGATGAAGGCTGACGTGGCGGACGCTGATTCGTCCAGGTGGTTCCTGGAAGATCTGATGCGCGAGCAGGAGGCACAGCCTGGCAGTGTGAGTGGCTGATGGTGCTGAGGGGAGATTGGAATCATTGGAGGGTGGGTGGATAGGATGGTAGGATGGTGGGATGGAGGGATGGTAGGATGGGATGGTAGGATGGTGGGATGGGTTTTTTCAGGTGTCTCAAATTGTAAAGGGTGGGTGCCCTGCACCACGCATGCCCTGCACCACACATGCCCTGCACCACACATGCCCTGCACCACACATGCCCTGCACCACACATGCCCTGCACCACACATGCCCTGCACCACACATGCCCTGCACCACACATGCCCTGCACCACACATGCCCTGCACCACACATGCCCTGCACCACACATGCCCTGCACCACACATGCCTTGCACCACAAGCGCTCTGCACCACATGCGCCCTGCACCACGTGCGCCCTACTCCACATGTGCCCTGCCTGCAGCACACGTGCCCTCCTGGTGTGTCAACCCCTAAGCGCTCCTTTCCCATTCGCCGATGGCCCTCATGTGGCCGCATGTCTTTGGAGTCAAGAGAGCTATGCTGCCCCGTTTGAGGTGACTTTTGAGTCGACTCAAGTCACCTTGGCCCTCATGTGGGCGCATGTCTTTGGAGTCAAGAGAGCTATGCTGCCCCGATTGAGGTGACTTTTGAGTCGACTCAAGTCACCTTGGCCCTCATGTGGGCGCATGTCTTTGGATTAAAAAGAGCTATGCTGCCCCGTTTCAGAATTCAAAAAATTCGGCGATCTATTTTAACACTTGTCAAATGTGATGGCCCTCATGTGGACGCATGTCTTAGGATTCAAGAGCTATTATTCCCACCCATGTATGACCCACCCATCCGTGTATGACCCACCCATCCGTGTATGACCCACCCATCCGTGTATGACCCACCCATCCGTGTGTGACCCACCAATCTGCAACCAACACCCAGGCTTTGGAATCTGCTGCTCCTATCCCCTCAACAGACTGCCTGCGTTTAAACTGCCAATACGTTCATCCCTCTGTTTGGATTCATCACAGCATTCATATGCAAACCCATCCGCTCATCCCACCCACACCCATACAGGCTTTGGAATCTGCTGCTCCTATCCCCTCAACAGACTGCCCTCACGTGGACTCCTCTGTTTTCAAGAGCTATGCTGTGGGCAGAATGGTAATGTGCCACGTGTGCAGAGAATGGTAATGTGCCACGTGTGGAGAGAATGGTAATGTGCCACGTGTGGAGAGAATGGTAATGTGCCACGTGTGGAGAGAATGGTAATGTGCCACGTGTGCAGAGAATGGTTATGTGCCACGTGTGGAGAGAATGGTTATGTGCCACGTGTGGAGAGAATGGTAATGTGCCACGTGTGGAGAGCATGGTAATGTGCCACGTGTGGAGAGAATGGTAATGTGCCACGTGTGGAGAGAATGGTAATGTGCCACGTGTGGAGAGAATGGTAATGTGCCACGTGTGCAGAGAATGGTTATGTGCCACGTGTGCAGAGAATGGTTATGTGCCACGTGTGCAGAGAATGGTTATGTGCCACGTGTGCAGAGAATGGTTATGTGCCACGTGTGGAGAGAATGGTTATGTGCCACGTGTGCAGAGAATGGTTATGTGCCACGTGTGCAGAGAATGGTTATGTGCCACGTGTGCAGAGAATGGTTATGTGCCACGTGTGCAGAGAATGGTTATGTGCCACGTGTGGAGAGAATGGTATGTGCCACGTGTGCCGTCGTCAGAATGGTAATGCGCAGCACTTGATCTGATTGCAATAGCATTGAACCTGAAATTCTCAACCGTAACACCTAACCTCTGAGAGACAGGTACAAAGTACAATCACGTATTTGATTTACTGCGTTTTGTGTGGCTGTACTGTACCTTGCTCACGAGGCCTGCTGAAGGCGGATGGAGTTAGTCTCGCCGTCCTAGAACCAGCTAAGTTGATGGACATAAGACCTCCGCAGCCCACCTGTTTACTCATAACAGTGGCTGTACTGTACCTTGCTCACGCGGTCTGTCGAAGGCGGATGTCTCGCTGTAATGTCATTCTGAGATGTCTCAGCTCCCCCTGTCGTACTGCTTCCATGTGCCCCTGTTGTACTGTTGTGCCTGTCACGTTGAATGAACGGCCCTCTCTCTCCCCGTTTTCTTGTGTGTTCCTGCTGATTCGATACCAAACCAGACTGTATCCAAGGGTCGGCAAGGTGCCGAAGCTCTGAATGTGGTCCGGGTAAGTTTAACTTCTTTTTCTTGCGTCCCTTGCTCCCCAACATGTACCCTTCCATGCTTTTAAACGCTTCCACCACTCACCTTCTGTCCTGTCCCGCTTGCTTTAAGCCCCTCCTCCAATTTTTCCCTCTCGCCCCCCGTCCCCCAAACCTCCTCAACCCCTGACGTCCTCCACTCTCCCTCCCTTCCGCCACCAGGTCTGCCTGCCCAATCTTCACCTGCGCAACGTGCACGTTGCACAGCAAAGAGACATGCTTATCCCTCTCAACTCGAGTTCTGAGGCGCCTCAAAAACTGAAACTTCTCATTCCCTGCCTCTCCCTCACTCACCACCCCCAGGTCTACTTGGCCAATCTTCGCCTGCGCAATGTGCACACAGACATGCTTATAACAGTCAACGAGCCGCTCTTTATCAGGTACGGACATTCTGTTGCCTGGTAACTGACCTGCGCTACTGAGGCACTCAAAAGGCTTGTATGGTCTCGTAAGTGGTTTTTGAGAGCTCCCAAAAGGCTTGTATGGTCTCGTAAGTGGTTTTTGAGAGCTCCCAAAAGGCTTGTATGGTCTCGTAAGTGGTTTTTGAGAGCTCCCAAAAGGCTTGTATGGTCTCGTAAGCGGTTTTTGAGAGCTCCCAAAAGGCTTGTATGGTCTCGTAAGTGGTTTTTGAGAGCTCCCAAAAGGCTTGTATGGTCTTGTAACTTGTAAGTGGTTTTCGAGAGCTTTCAAAAGCCCCGTATGGGTTTAGAAGTTCTTGGTGTGTTGTTCTGACTTTTGAGGTTTCTCAAAGGGACGTTATATTTCCATTCTCGCTCCTTCCATTCTGGCCCACTAATCACTACTGACACACTGTTGCTATCACCTCCCTTGTTGCCACAACAATTCATCCTCACCTTTATGGAAGTCAGCTACCAGTGAGTAGACTGAGGGTGCGGCACGGCAGCAGCGGGGCCGGCAGGAGTCACGCAGGCTGCAGTGCAGGAGGCAAGCATTTGACCTATTCCTCCCCCTCCCAATTCTCCCCAAATTACCGTTTCTTTCCTATCCTTACATTCCCCTCGTTTCCTCTTTCACCTATCAGTGAGCAGAGTGAGAGTGCGGCAGCAGCGGGGACGGCAGGAGTCACGCAGGCAGCAGCACAGGAGGCATCGGCAGGGGTGCTGGGAGCCACAGCCGGCGGGCAGGTGTTTCAACGGCTGCTTGCATCGTTCAAGGTCAATGATTGGGGGCTGTTTGGGCCGCAAGAGTAGGAGTTGGGAGGCAGTATAGAAACTGGAGGCAGCAGCAGCAATGGAGCAACAGTCACGCAGGCAGCAACACAGGAGGCATCAGCGTCAGCAGGGGTGGTAGGAGATACAGCGGACAGGGAGGTGTTTCAATGGCTGCTTGCGTTCTTCCAGATCAATGACTGGGGGTTGGGCCGCAAGAATAAAGAACCATTGTGTAGCAGAAGCAGCAGGGGAGCAGCAGATAACCAGGCGGCAGCATAGGAGGCGTCAGCAAGGGTGGTGGGAGCGACAGGTGGCGGGCAGGTGTTTCAACGGCTGCTTGCCTCCTTCCAGATCAACGACTGGGGGCTGTTTGGCCACACGAGTAGGAGTGTTGGGAGGAAGTATACGAACTGGGAGGCGGCAGCAGCAGCAGCAGCAGCATCAGCAGGAGGGAGGAAGCAACACACACGCATGCAGCAGTGCAGGAGGTATCGACTTGACAGCATGGGTCTGTTTTTTTAGAATTCTAAAAAAACAGGTGAAGCCCATGGTTGCATGGTTATCCTCCTGCTGATTTGGGGATGTTTGAGCATGATGATTTGGAGTTTGAACCGAGCAGCAGCTGGAGGGAGAAGCAGGACCAGCTGAGTTAACAATGCAGGATGCATGGATGACAGGGTGAATTGCCATTCTGACACTAACATGCAGGGTTGTCAACAGCATCCTTATTTTTCAGAGCTGTTTGGTTTTTAGTAGCACCCTTTTCAGAAAGAGCAAGTGAGCATATTGTGCCGTATTAGGCTGATGTTCCAGAGTGGACTTTTGTACCCAGGTTGATGAGAAAATAGTATTTCATACTGCCCAGTACGGCCCAATAGGATTCTAGGGGGGTCCAGCAGAGAGAGAGAGATTCTCTTGAGATAGTATAGTCCTTTGAGGTACGGTCCTTTGAGATTCTCTTGAGATACTGTAGTCCTTTGAGGTACGGTCCTTTGAGATCCTCCTGAGATACTGTAGTCCTTTGAGGTACGGTCCTTTGAGATTCTCTTGAGATACTGTAGTCCTTTGAGGTATGGTCCTTTGAGATTCTCTTGAGATACCGTCATACCCCGGATATAAGCGCCACCCTCGGATAAGCGCCTGGCGCTTTTAATTGGCGTGTGGCGCTTATATCCCCTGCTCGATTATAAGCGCACCCCCTGAAAACACTTGTTTTATTATGAGCGCACGTTAACTTATTTTTTTGAAATGTGTTCAACACGCTTTAACGATTTCTACTTTAGCAGGCAGATGTTTTGCAGATTCGGTTCCCTTCACATTCGGACCCTGCACTGGATTCGGGTCCAGTCAGCAGGAGCTGTCATGAGCTGTCAGGAGCTGGATGTGAGTCAGATTGGGTGTACCTCCCTGCGCGCGCGAGAATTTCACAGACGGCCCCATGTAACTTCGTCTCGATTGAAAAGGCAAGCACGAGATCTACAGTATGGTGTTAAAAAATATATAAAAACATATATGTCATTTTATAAACGCCGGTGCTTATAAATTTACTCGATTATAAGCCCACCCCCCTAAAAAAACCTGCTTAATTATTGCCCCCCATGGGGGTATATCCGGGGTATGACGGTACTGTAGTCCTTACTCAACCGTGGGGCGCACACGAGCATCGCCTTGACTTCATGACATGAGCCACGGTGATAGGCTGCAAAAGGAGCTGTGGTGCCCAAGACTCTGAACCCCCTTCCTCCTCGTCCTCTTGCCCGTTCGCAACTGACTCCAGCCTCTGAGACACTTTCGACTGCCCCATTGAACCTCGCACCACAGTCTACCCCTCAGCCTCATTCATCTTCTGCTCCCTCCCAGCAACCTCAGCCAACGTCAGCGCCAAAACTTGTTTCAAAGAAACAGAAGGTGGTTCTCCAGCCTTCCCAATTCCCCGTCTTCATCTCAGCCTCAAACCTCTCACACTGTGCCCTCGCCTTCACGTGACCATCCCTCCTCTACCTCAGCCCCTCCTCCAATTACCATAGCAGATGCTCCTGATCTTACGGCCCTTGCTGACGACTCGCACCCACTATCACACTATGAAATTGCTGCTTCACCCTCTCGGGATCCCCCCCCTCCTTCCCCTACCCCTCACTCTACGCAGCCATGCCCACACCCTTGTCTGCCCTCGTCAACCTCCGTTAACCCGTTACCTCCTAACACTTGCCCTACGTGTCGACGCCCCTTTGCCAACTCAGGTTCTACGGCCCGCCACCTTTCAGCCTGCTCTCGCAACACCACCACACGACAACAAGCTGCTCGACCCCCTCCTCCCCCCTCATCAGCCCCAACTTAAGCCCCCGCAGCCGCAGATCGACCTTCTATTCCCGAAGCCACATGGGAGGCCGTTCCTTCCTGGGATTGGCCTTCCTTCTTCAGCCCAGCAGTCTCATCTGGCCCTATTCTTCGCCGAATCCCCTCCCGCATCTGACTCCCAATTCTCGATGCACTTCTCATTCTACTGCGCCGCCTTGCACATCATCCTTCTGACGTCGCTGCACACCTCATACTCTTGGCATTTCCGCGTCTCCTACTGCGCCTACCATCTGGCGCGCTGCTCCCACACAGCCCCTTACCTCTTCATGTGCTTCTTTAACGCACCACTTCATCAATGGTGACTGGTATTCTCTTTTCAGCGAAGCCGTAGCTGCAGCCAATCCAGCAGCCAGACCTATGCACATGGCATCAGCACGTTCTACAGCGCTGCAGGCTCGTCTCAACCGTGCGAAGCGGTTTGCGAAATGCGAGGATTGGTCGCGGTCACTAATAGCACTAGAAGCGGGCGAGCTAGCACCTCCATCATCAGAAACAGCTGCTGCCCTCAGCTCCAAGCACCCACCTGCTGTCGAGATTCCTTTCTGGGTACACAGCTAAACTTCTGCTCCCGCACCACAGCTTACTGTCCCCGTCCTCCACGCCGCTCTACAGTCCGCCCCCCGTAGCACAGGTGCTGGACCTTCTGGGTGGCTCATTGAGCACCTCAGAGACACGTTCTGTCCCACCAACAGCATCTCCCCTCTCTCCTCCACGTCTTCATGAAGTGGCTACAAGGCGATCTTCCACCTACAGTCAGGCCGTTCTTCACCGCTTCGAGCCTGGTCGCCCTACAGAAACCGCATGGTGGTGTACATCCCATCGACATTGGAGAAGTGCTACCACGCCTTCTTTCACGCCGCATCACTCTCCTCTTCAAGCAGCAGATGCAAGAGTCGTTTCTTCCTCAGTTTGGCGTAGCAGTTCCAGCAGGCATCGAGGTCATGTCGCACGACGTTTGTTCCGCCTTCTCCCTTCATCTGGACTAAGTGGTGCTGCAATTGGACGTCACAAACACATTCAATTCCTTCAACAGAGTAATCATGTTTGAGGCATTAAGGCGCTCCCCATTCTCCAGTCTCATTCCCTTCTTCCGCCTATTTTACTCCACCCCTTCACCTCTCCATTACTGCAGCGCCCCCCTTCTCCACACATTCCAGTCAGCTTACGGTGTTCGTCAAGGCAACCCTTGTGGTCCTTTTCTGTATGCCCTAGCGCAGCAACTAGCCATCCAACCAACCCAGCAGCCGCATCCCTCAATTTTCATTACGTCATATGCGGACGATACCTACTTGGTCGGCCCTCCCTCAGACGCCTTTGCCGCGTACACTGACCTTACCGCCCGCCTTCTCTCTCTTGGCCTTACTGTCCAACCCTCTAAGTGCTCTCTATAGGCCCCTATGGACTTGCCCAAACACCGCATTCCGCCCTCAGGTATTTCCATCGCTGCAAACGGTCTCACTGTTGCATGTGTTCCTACTGGCTCAGATGGTTACATCACCTCTACAGTTCGTGACAAACTTGATTCTTTCACTTCCTCCCCCCCCAAACTGCATTGACTGCCGGACCTACAGATTGCCTCACATATCCTTTCCTTGTGCATCAATGCCCGACCTTTCTTCCTCCGAATCGTCGCACATTTTCCTGAAATCTAAGAGTTACTCTCCTCATGGGATTGCACCATTTTTAGACACTTCTCTCAGCTCCTGGGCTCCGAGTACTGGAATCCCACCTCTGAACAGTACACATCAACCTGACTCCAAGCCTCGCTCCCTATCCGCTTGGTTGGCTTCGACATTCGCGGCTCTGCATCCATTGCCCCCCTCAGTTACCTCTGCAGCTGGGCACAAACAATTTCGACCTTATCTACCCACTTCATCACCAATGGTGCTCCTCTTTTCCACCGTTACATTACCACAGAATCCATTAACCACCTCAACCCTTCAATCTCATCTACCATGACCATGTTTCCCCAAGACACTTGTGATCGCTTCACATCGTGGTTTGTGCTTCAACCAGACTACTCTCTTGAACTCTTTACTCACCTCTCCCAACACCTCGAAGCTGATCTGTTGGAGAAGGTTTGAGCCACAGTAACGTCCCCGCTTCGCCTTGCTCGCCTAACCTCTTTGCAGGGCCCGCATGTAGGTGACTGGCTCACTGTGGCTCCATTCTCCCCGCACATGCAGCTTTCAGAGACCGAATGGCGCATTGCAGCAGCTATCTGCCTTGTCAAAACGTTATATGCTTTCTATATTTCTAAGCTATGTAGGGGTTATATTTAGAGGGTACAACACTTTTCTTAGCACTCTTGTACCTCCCCCTTTAACCTAATCCACCATCACTTTCTCGCTACTTCTAGCATGGATTCAGAGTCTAGGTACCTTCCTACTCCCTTCCTAGTGTTCTTGGGCCCACCACGCTAGGCTATAACTGCCCGTAGCGCGCTGCCCTAAGAGCGCACTGTTCGTTTTGCCCCGCATGCGCTGGTTTTCGGGCTGTCCCTCTAGCGTGATCGCGCTGTCCTGCCCCACCCGCCATCACGCTGCCCTACCCTGCCCGCGGTCGTGCTGCCCTGCCCTGCCCGCAATCGCGGTGCCTTCTGCCTAGCGCATTGCCCGCCCGCGAGCACTCTGCCTGCCCGCAAGCGCCACTGCGCCCCTGCCCGCGAGCGCCACTGCGCC